CGGACGACTCTTCATGCGAGTAAACATGTTGCGGGGATGACGCAGCTAGTTTCTGGTAGAACATACGGTAAATCTAGATTTGAGCTGTGCCTGATGTATGAGGCCCTAGCATAAGGAATAAGTTTGGCTGTCCATTATCAATCTGGTATAGAAATTCCTTAAAAGTTCCATAGCAGTTATCGTAAAAAAGCTTATTTTGTTTTTATCTTTCACACGCATTCCCTAATCCCTTATATTGGCTCGGGATGGTATCGGGATGATGCTCAACGAGTAAAAAGGCAGAAAGGAAGGTTCGAGGTAAAAATATATAATCCGTTTTATTCACGGTTAATTCCTATACACAGAAGAACAAATTTACGATACTCTGAAAATAACGAGTCGATATRATGCAGAGCCGAGGACGAAGAACAGAAGAACGAGGCAACATTCCCAAGTGGTTTTCGAATTCAAGCAATGTGATTGGTTGGCTGGCATATATTTTTGGTTATGTGTGAGTTGGTTCAATAACGGAAGCTGTTATAAGTCACGGTATCGATATTTCCCGCTTTTTTTTACTCTTTAAGTATAATGACTTAAATAGGCTTAAGCATTAGGCTTAAATGTTAAAAGACAAGCCAGGCACTTTGGCCGTTTTGGTTGGGTCTATTCACTCAACGATTATGTAGCTACGCCCATATTAGAGAGGTGGTGAGTGCGGGACAAGCCCTCTTTCAGCCAGTCACCCTGTACACTTGGCTGAATTTAGGGCCCTAGGGGATATACGTTGACAAGTACGTTAACTTTTAGGATATATTTTGTGGCAGGTTTAGGATTGGTTTATTTTCTTAGTATAAGTCATAATAAAATCCCAGTTGTCAAGGACCTTTTGAAGCCTTTGGATAAGTGTTTGCCATGCGATGTAAAAAATGTACAAAATCYAGTAAATGCATTGTATATTTATTGAGCAAATGCTTGAACGTCCAGAATATTGAGATTGCTTCCTTGCTAACGGAAGACTAGAAGTCTTCGATCTATTAATGTAAAAGTGATTTACAAGTACGAAGTCAATTGCAACCACAAAAGTGCAYAGTTAAGACATTTTAAAAATTCAGCGACTCCGTTGGCAATCCAAAGTATTGAGAGTTGCCTTGCTGGAGGCAGYCATGACATTTTCCACTGACACGTATACTTTAATCAACCACAAACGTGCACTTAACATTTCACAATTCAGCAACTCTTTTGCGATCCACAATAGAGGTTACCTTGCTYGAGGCAGATAGAACGGACATCTTCCTGTGAGATGTACAAGTGGTTTGTACAATACCCAACCACAAAGTACTTCAACCTGCAAACTRTTCAAAATTTAAAAGCAGATCTTCAGTGACCATCCAAAATATTGAGATCTGTCTTGTTTGAGGCAGACAAGATATCTTGCATACCAATAGTTCTACAGCATGACAATGTGGTTTAATCACTGGCTATTTACCTCTTTTGCCTCAGGCAATCTAGTCGGCTCGTGCGCTGCTGTACTGTAGTCTCCCGTCGGTTGACCTTCTGCCCCTATGATTAACAACTTTGATTGCTACTTGTTTGGTTGAGTGGCACACTGAGTGATCCTCAACAGCAAGAGGCTATTAACAACGGACTAGATCTATTGTAAATTTGCGGCTATTTCTTTTGAACTCATTTTTAAAAGATTACTGCTGTGAACTCCTTAGCGGCCGTCGAGCAAAACAGAACATTTGATAGGCCTGTTATCTTGGCAGGCTTCCRCTCATTCCGGTCTCACGTCTTCTAGCCATACCTTTCTCTGGTCTCGCCAAACAAACCACAAAAATGACAAACTCAGGATGGGGGAACTATTTCGAATCAAATCTAATAATTCTCTTTCATTTCTTATCCTCACACTGGCCAAATTTCAAACAWACAAAGATAAAGGAATAATGAATAAAATGAGATCAATACAAAAGCAATTACCCATTTTATCATCTTCGAGAATTAAGAGATGCTGTGATATCAAGATGTCAAATCCCTTGCAGCTTCTGCCAGGGGTGAGACGTTTTTTTTTTTTTTTTGGCTCAGAATAGTTCCAACTGCGTGATTCGTGCCGCTCAATTTAGTACACGAGTCCAAAGTGACCCCTTTCTTATGGTCTCAAAACGATTTTCGCATTGAATCACTCAGTTACAGGATTTCTTTCTTTCTATAATACATGTTCATACTTTAAAGATAATACCAACATGGAATTTCGCCTCGTCGTCTTCCTTCCACAGCTAACATGGTTCTGTTTTCCCAATTAGACTCAAGTAGATGTTAAGAAAAAGYCCCGTCTTATATCGCAGCCTCCCAAACCTTCAAAACTTCGAACTAGAACTTTCTCGAACTCCAGTTTCTCTTCAATTGGTTTAACCTTTTCAGCTTCCCCTCATATGTTTCCAATTGATGCTTTTTACGTAGAACGTCTGCAGCGGCTCGATCATCCATTAATTATGAGGTCCAGACTGGGCAGAGTTTAGGTTTTATTGAAATGATTTCACAGAGATAAGTTATTTTGACTCCATATATGTTGCTTGGCTTTCATTTGAGGATTTTGGGAATTAGCTATTGAAGTTAAGTTGACCTTATTGAAGACTAGATGAAAAGTTGCGCAAATTATTTGCCGGTCAGTCATCAAATAGAGCTGAGCTTGTTTGTAACTAAAGCGCTATACTTTCTACATAATTAAAAATAATGGTATTGTCAGAAGTTTTAGTTTGGTGTAATTTGTAAAAATTATTTTTGCATATTTAAGAAGTTTATTTTAGTTTTGTCTGATTTTCTTTTCTTTCTTTTTTTTTTTCAACATTAAATAGCTGAGTGGCTGCCTGATTTTTTGCAGGTACACCTACAGACTAAACAAGACTTAGCGAAACGACTTGCTCATCTAATCAGCAACGAAGCTTGCAGTATTTCTAGCTCGACGTACTGATCAAATATCATTTYTCTAACCACAATTGTGCAGATAGACCTTATGTTACAAGCTATTGTCTGAAAAGGAAAAAAAGTTAATTGAAGAAATGTTTGTGTCCTTGTATATATGATAATTGCATAGTTGGCGACTCAACTCGAAGCGCTACACAAACTCAGCTGTTTTCTCTGCCATGATCACCACTGAATTATCTATGGTCAGCTGAAGAAAAAGAACGTCTCTTTTGTGACGTACTGCCACATAATGAAAACTCCCCTGTCAGCCATTGAAGACCTTCGATATTTATTGCAATACTGACATGGTTGAGGACTGCAACAGAAGTAGCACGCACGAGGTTCGTCATTATCAAAATTATCAACGAGTTCAAGCTCAAAATTGTTGGAGCTGATGATGAGGCAAATAAGATGAGGAAAAAGCTGAAAAATTCCAAGAAAATTTTAAAGCAAAAAAAGAGTAAGCCAGCTCAATTCGAGACTCATCATTATTGTCAGTCTCTTTAGCATTGTCTCTAAGACTCAGTCTCTTGTCTCTTATCTCCAAAACATTTTATTTAACGTAAAGGAATTATAAAATTTATCGTTTATTTAGTCAGACAGACTATCTATCGATATAGTTTTGATGCTTTTCGGTGTGGAAAGTCTTTACTCCGTATACGAAACAGGAACACAGTACACCGATCAAAACTGGTTGAGCAATTAAAGCCCACCTTGGTAACAATTAGTATGTACCATATAGATAACAAAACCAAACAGTATAAAATTATATCCAAATATAACTGTTTTTACACAAATAGCTATAAAAACATCGAGGCAGTTGGGATTTTATGTACACATTCTCAGTATTAGAGTCTCTTTCAAACCATACTTTATAGTTCACTCATGCTCATGATTCGAAATATCACGTTTTTTTCATCTCAATATTAAGCATTTCTAGCTAATTCTCTCGATATCCCACGAAGAAAAGAAGAACAATCTCTTAGGTTCTTATTGCGTATTGACGTCTATTCCTCTCAAGGCCATCATTTGCAGAACCACAGCAGAAAACAACGCCAAATTTCTGGTACTACCATTAGTTTTTGCCCGTGTTTTCGATGACTTCGGTGTCTACAAGCAGTGGCTTTTTCTCAGGTCTTTTCCCCTTAACTCTCTTCCACTTCATCCGCCGATTTTGAAACCAAACTTTAACTTGTCTCTCTGTTAAGTCCAGACTAACTGCTATTTCATATCGACGGAGTCTTGTCAAGTAGTTATTTCGTTGAAACTCGTTTTCCAGTTCCTGTATTTGGTGTTTTGTGAAGGCAGTTCGTTCCTTTCGCTTTTTGCCGTTCTTTCCGATTTTAGGGTCGACTGAAAAACAAAAGCAAGTTATTAGAACTTTTTATAAGAAAATTAAACGCTGGCCACATACAGCAAGCTCGAATTCTCTTAACGCCATAGTTACTTTTTCAATAGACTTTATATAAAGAGTCGATCGTTTAGCGTTTTCTTCTAAAATGGCTCCCGATGAATTCGTTCGCCATCTCCATTGAGATCGACGCAAAAGCTCAATGGATTTCAATGTGCAGTTTTTTTATCAAAACCACACGAATGCAGACAGTTGTTGGCACAGTTCAACTGAGAACCTGAATCTGGGTTCTTCTTGGTGAATTTGTTTAGTGTGGAAAAGAACGCGACCACCCTCATGGCAGAGGTTTTACAGATACGAGGAAATGCTTCTCTTTTTCACCGGAACAGGCTCCCAGTTTGAGCTGTTTTTCTAGTTGTTGAACTCTGCAACTCCCCCTATTGTTTGATAAGAATTCTACACTAAAGAACTGCAGAAATTTGTAAAAAAGAAAGTCTTGGATTTTTAATGCTATATTGCAGGGACAACACGAGACAAAGGTGAAAAGAGAAAAAATCGCTGGCACACCAAACAAAAAAACATAAAATACGCAGTCCATCCACTTCCGCTCACTTGCAAGAGTTCAGTGTATTATACAGTGCTCTAAACAACCTTTCCAACGTTCTAGACTGAATCCACATCACTAAAACTTACATTTCATAACGTTCTACCGTTTGCGCAAGAAGACGGAATGCCAGTTGTGGCGCTTCTGTAGAACAATAAAAGAACCATCCATGTCTCCAATGATGATCTAAGTTATATGAAACTTCCTCTGACGATATTAGTTGTTTTTATAGTAATTCTGTCTCTTTCTTTTTTTAAGAAAAAAGTAGAAAGCTTAAAGAAAAGGAGTTTATATAGGAAAAGGCGGATTCCGAAATGCGCAAAGAATAGTGGTATGATATGACCGACAAATAGTCTGATGCCATCGCTTGACATTCCTGAGATGTTATTAACGCACTCTGATGAGAACTGTACTGAGTTCAGTACCACGGTGTGCATATATACTCTAGCGATAAGCTGTGTTGTTTTTGGGGATCTGTTGCGTGTAATTTTCCATCTTACTTCTTGCTGTTCGGTTTWAAAAACTGCAGTTGGTGTGAATATTATCATCAGCCTTAGAGATCACATTCTTATCGCTGAACACATATTTGCCAATACGAGACGCTTGCCACGCCACACAAAAGAAAACATTGTAAGATGGCGTATGGCACCTACTTATATATAGCTTGGCTTATTTTACTACAAGAAAAAGCCTTAACTATATTACAAATAGAGTGAAAATCTGCCAATCAAGATGAAAAACGAGGACAATAAAAGATATAGGATATTTACTGTATCGCGTCTAGGCTGTTCATTCAGCAAAACCCTGGAGTCAATGCTACAACAACTTTTCGAAGTATGGCGCAATAATTTAACGAAAATTAAAAATAATGGGCTTTGTTGCGTAAAATAGTCATTAGACGGTTTTAAATAGGCCTATAGAGCCAGCAAGAAAATCATAAAAAAGTGAAAAACGAGTGAAAAAGTTCTSGTTTAGAAAGGGCCGAAGAAGCTCAACTCAGGCATCTCAGCTCGGCTMGCGTTTTCGATTCAGAATAACATAAAGTGGAGCCAAGCCAAACCACGTTGTTTTGGTAACATAAACTGACTAAAAGCCAGAAGAAGAAATAAGAAAGCTTGTCTTCCATTTAATTGAAGCCGAGTTGCTTTGAGTTGCCTTTAACTGACTAGTTGCAAGATTCAAAACAAAAAACAAAAAAACAGCTTGTTATAGTCATGCATGGAGAATCATACATAAGAAAACTTAGAGTTTYCATATTTGTTACMATTTCTATTAATAACGATAACTTGTCTCAACTTTWWAAAAAAATTTACGATAAGTTTTGAATTTGGTTCTACATTGGTCTTGACCGGAACTTAAAAACAGAGCTTGTTCTAACTCGAATRACACAGCGCCACACCTGAATCTAACTAGCGAAGTGGTCACTTCTAAATATTATAGAAAGTTGTCCATAACTCACAAAAGGGACAAAATATTGAAGTTGGAAAGTCTAAGACAAAGTAAAGGGATTAGTCGTTAGGATCTTCTCTCATTTCTGGAAGAAGAGGACAAGCCTCCCGAGGTACCTCGTTTGCGGTTGAACCCATTTTAACYGTGGTGGACTTTACTAGCTCACATAGCATCCTGTGTATATATATATAAACATTCTACAGTAATAGTATCACAAGTTTAATGATATAAAAGTGAAAGAATCGATAATTAGAAGCTGAAGACCTTTTAGGTTTTGAAAATATAACGTCAGAAGACTAGGTATAACTGGGCTCCTCTGTTGCTAGTCAATATGTGAACTGACCAGTAATGCTACATATAAATTCCTTAGCATAAAATATAAATCTATTACCTAAAAATAGAGCACAACTCCGAATTTACCTTAGTATATACGATTTTTTATAGGGAACTGTAGAACTGGTGGTGCTTTTTTGCTGAAGTTCATGAATGAAGTGCTTCACGTAGAAGAGGTYTTCACTTACACTGGGGTCTGGTTTGTGGTTTGCTGGGAAGCTCATGTCAGCTTTGTGGTCTTCTCTAACCACAGCAATAGCTTTGCCGACAGATTTCATGAGTCAGTCATTAAGAACAGTAAAAGGGGGCTTAGCTTATCCAGCAATAAAGAGCTGCAGAGCTATTTCGTRGCTTTCTTCAAGAATACTATACATAAATTAAAGTTTTACTAAACAAAACTGATTAAGTGGGGATAATTTAATAAAAGCGTGAATGGATTAMTTTAATAGGCTATTAGATGGTTTTTGTACTTGAGTTTCAAGAGCATTGTAAGTACATATTGTTTGTAGTGCAATCAAAGTCAACCCTGACTGATCAAACAGATAGAAACTTTCTAAGATATGGTTTACCAAATACAKGGGCTGCAATTAGGATACTTAAAAAGTCGTTATAAGTATTTTATAGTATACTACCTAATATATCGAAAATATACTGAAATTGTATTGAAGATTCTGGGGACTGTTCCTGTAGTCTGAGAAAGACTAAGGTTTAAGTCAAACGCTCGTCATTTAAAAAAAACTTAGTATTTGAGAACTTGGTAGAGACTTGATACCATCAGAGATCATTCTAAAATACTCTCCTCTTTCTAATAACGACAACTTTAACTAAATTCCACTAAACTAAAAAAAAATGCTGGACACACATGTTTATGTCTGATGGGTAATGATGGTCTATGAGAGAAGACAGTCCAGCATGGAAAGCTGTAAGCAAGTCAGTCCCCTACTCTTGCTTCTATACTGATTTGTAGGTTRTATTATTAACTTCTGCTTTACCATCCTTTTCTATTCAGTAAAATCGCAATACTTGGAAGTCAAAATAGAATTTGGTTTGATTTATGCCCTGAGAGAGGTTTGCAACATGATTAAAAACTGTGCAGTTTATCAAAAGATCTAAGAAAAACTAAACCACACCAATGGAGCATCTGTTCCTAAAATTTTTCTTTTTTTCTCAAATATTTTACTTCCTTCCAGGACATTTTTTATATCAATTGCAAATTCAAAACAATTTTAAGGTTGTCATGCCTAGAGAGACTCGTATATTATTGAAAATGATTGGTGGTATTTGGTGGTTAACTTGACCACCATGTAGAACCTCCAAGACCATTCCAAACTAGCCTCTTGTCCATTTAGATTACCTTCCTGAAGCAACATTTCAGGAAACCAAGCTTAAAAAAGCGGGTTATCAGATGATCACACACAATAAGCCAGCACAAAGATCCTAGACTCTTGGATAATGAAAATCAATTTATCCTTTCAAGAAACGAGTAAAAACGTATAATAAACGCTCGACGTGGTCATGACATAGGTCCAAATTGATTGATATACATCGCTATGTGCTCCATCAATCTACGGTACATTACTATAACCAATTATCGAACATACATAACGATGGACATTAAACAGAGCTAGGTTCCTGGTATGGCTACTCATTGCTAGTAAAATCAATTACGAAAAAGGTGACTAAAGATAAAAGCACCGCCATTATGCCTAGTCACCCTATTCWAGTGAATTAGCGCTCTTTCAGACTGTCTAAATCCTATAGATATCTTGGTATATAGCTCAATCATTGGTGGATATTTTAGCCAAGTTTTTAAGCCATTGGTGTCAATCAGAACCCTTTTTAAGGTTTGCATTGAAATCATAGTGAAACGCTTTGCGAGTTTTTGGAGATTAAAGAGCAACGAACAGCAATGGATATTAGAAATGCCTTGAGGTACGAGGCACAACAATACAAGGTCTCGCAGCACTAAACGTCGTTGTCTTTTTATTGTTCCAACTAGCAATCTCAACAGAGACAATCGAAGAATGATTAGGAACTCTGATTTCTTATTGATCACTAGTCAGGCGAGATGTTATTGCTTTTGTTAGACGACCAACCCGAAAATCACAAACGAAATTATCTTTCATTAGCACTCCATGAACTCTGCAAATGTAAATACCGCAAGGCGCATGAAACGATCCCTAATGGCCATCGAGAACTGATTCAAATGATGATCACAAGTAAATCTACGATGCTACTTAAGAAGGTGTGATGCTTAATAAACAGTAATAAAGACATTAACGTCCCTCGTTACCTTGTTCACAGCTCGATGCAYGAGGAATACAGTTATGTTCCAAAGGCATTGTAGCACGGCAATCGTCCATTAGAGGGGCTGTCTGTGGAAGATGGTGTAGCATTGGCACTTCATTTTCTCGTGGTACGATCTCCATATTCCTCGACTCATTGTAGTGCCCCATAGATGAGCCATGGCCGTACTGCGAGGAGGGCGTGTTWGGGGGATAAGTGCTTGTACTTGGAGAATAAGTGTTGAATGCATAACGTGGAGAAGGGTAAACATAGGGATGGTGGGATAATGGTGGTGGTGTGTGTTGTTCGTGAGGTGGAATGGAGTATGWTGGCCGGACGTAGTTAAAACTTCTGCTATACATATTTCATGAACTGGATCTGTTCTTGATGCTGTTTTAGTCTTGGTTGAGATTGTCTAATTTTTTTGGTCAACGGGTCGCACAGGGCCCCTCTTCAGATTAGCCAACTTATCGGAAGGTTCTGTAACGGCGTAAGCGATATCGGGCCGCTCGTTTTGAAATTGTAATTAATCCAAATCACTTTCTGTCGGCAAGATCTTGTTACAAGCAGCTCACATTCTTTTGCACCAAAATCCGAACTCCTCGTTTTTCTTGCCCTCTACGATGCCACAAAATATCCAAGTAGAATCTCCAACCAACTGCTTGTTCGCCTATCTTTTTCTGTCTCCCACCATGAGTCGGTGTGCTTTAGATTCCCCCTCAACAAGCAAAATAAACATCGCTATAATTAGATAATGTCTAGCGCCCATGCTTAGCCTTTTTATGTGCCGCGTCAGTTCAGCTGTTTTTGGCATTAGCCTTTGTATTTTGTTCCGTTTATTTCTTTTTTCCCATGCACTGTCTTAAGGGTTTCTTTTCTGGGAAACCTTAGTCTAATTCCGAGATAATTTTGAAWTTATTTATATTTCACTTTCTCTTGTTTTGAGTTCTGGACTAAGACTTTATAGGAAAATACTCATGTGTGRTTTTGTAAGAGTTCTGATCAACAGCCGGTAAGAGCCATCATCTTAAAATAGACAAGTGGATGGATCGCGCCGGTACGAATCGAACTCATGAGCCATGCCGGCAGGCTTTAGAACGCATTCCCTATAACGAACCATCTTGTCTTTAAATAAGCTGAAACGGTTGTTGTCTTTGTTCGAGAGCAAAAAAGGTCTTTTTAGATCCATCACTTGAGACAAGGGTACTTCACAATCCAACTTCCTTTTTCCGTGGATTGTTTGTTGGTGGAGAAAAGAGTGAAGTTGACAGCTGGGTGTCATTAAGACCATTTATTTTTAAGATAAAATTGATACTCTATAATTTAATTGCAAGCTAATAACGCAAATCGAAAACGGATTAAAGTGGGAGTCAAAACGCCGAACCCATTCTTCAAGGAACTCTAAACGTGTCTTAAATAAAATATTTTAAAAATTCCTCTAAAGTCATTTGTATTATTGTGTTGCGATCAAAACAATTTACAGCGAATTAAGAGTACATAATTTGAAAATTGTGTTGATAGTACTTGAACTTTTTCCTGGACCACTCAGAATGAAAGAGCTTTGAACTTCTCGTGCTGAAGGCAAGATGGGTTCTGTTGATTCTAGGTTATGTAAATAAAAGAGGCTACAGTTTGTCAAGATTGAAGATATACCGGTTTAGATTCGCCTGTAATTGCAAGCTGAACATATAAATCTACCTATCGCTCGGAGAGTAGGAAAATTGTTCCATGACCTCCATGTCGACTGTTGCAGAATAGTAGTCGACTTACAAAGTGGAAAGATAATGACAGTCTTGAAGTAAAAAGGCAAGGACGAGCTGGCAATGCAATTAGTACAGACCTAACTAGACCAACTATATAACGCCAATTGTCTGGTTGAAGAAGATACGAATCTCGCATTTCTGCGAAGTTATTAAGTTAGTCTCCGTTCCTGTGCGTGCAATATAACGTGGTGTTTGTAATCTAGTAGAGTTATGCAGAGGCTATTGGTGTTGTACGTTAAAAGATCTGTTCCTGATGCTGGATGTACCACTTCAACACTATTCATCTATTACTTGACTGATATTGAAACCAAACAGCTGCGAAAGGCTTAGTATCTACCGCAAAGACATTGATGTTGGGGCTTTATTCTTCTCTTATTATAAATAGCAAGAGTCAGAGGTTCTGGATTTAAAAAAAAGGTTCTCATCTTCTTGGCATATACCATTTGTCTTCCCGAGTCACTTGCTCTGTGTGTTGAACGCTTATCCTCAAACACATGTTCAAAGAGGATGAAGACGTTAGCGACCATTGATCCCCCACGTCAAGCATACATACTTTACTCTGAGAGTTAAGAGCGCTATGCAGTTCATTTCGTTATCTTATCGATAAGACCTACGAATGACAAATGATTTGCAACTTTTATTAAGATGTTTTCGCCGATGTCGGGTTGTCGGCAGTTGTAAGTGAGTAAGTATCTAGTCAACGTCAGCAATTTGAGATTACTTCTGTTCTTTTCCATAATACTTCAAAGTACTTGGTACTACAGTACATGGGTGTGCACAAAATATTCTACAATCAATTACAGGTCCAAGAAATAAGCAAAACAATTGGATCCAACAAGTTGCTTGAGATTAAGATTTCAAGTGTCAGACTGAAAGTCTAAACTGTAGTATTTTATCTAAGTAAGCTTATTTAGTGTCTAATAATCCATCTTACTATTGATTAAAATAAATTAATGAGTTTAACAAGGCTGTATAAGCCATCTATCTCGCGTGTTCGACTCAAGTCGTAGTGTGAACTTTGGCGATTTCAAATGTACAAAAAAACAAAATATATTCTTTTTAAATTTATACTGAAACAGGACAGACAATAAAATAAAGCAGTGAAGAAACACAAATTTATACGTTTTGTTTGACCCTTGATATCGCTTGATCCRCGTTTCCTTCTTAAATAAACCCATTTCTATTTTGGATGTTTGCTAACCAGTATAAGACATTTTTTCTTAAAGTGACAAGTCAACAGAGCCTTGCTATGATAATTCATTGAATGTTAATTCATCCCAAAATTAAACAAGATTTGTAGTTGAAAAGAAGAAAAAGGATTTGGCGCGGAATAAACAAAGCTAAAAAGATAAACTCAAACCGACAATTTCAATAACAGACGTAGTCTATTGATGTAGTATTATTATGGGAGCGCGCCATCACTTTCTTCAGCCTTGGCGCGAAAATTAGTTTGGTCTTCATTTTAGCTCCAGATTTTGTGATTTTTATCCTTTTTAATGATATAAAAACACAGTACTGTTTTTATTCAAATCTATTTGCTGCTATCGTCTTTTATGACTATTCGTGCCCTTTTTCTTTATTACATTAACTTTAATGAATTCCTCAGAACATAGAAACGTTTGCAGATTCTCTCTATAGCTTTTTAGCTTGAATAAGTCTCTCTTTTGAGGTTTAGTGTGCCTGACACAGTAACACTGTAGCTATTTTTTATATTTTAGAGGTTGACACTTGAGCCATCTAATGAGCCTATTAAAGGAATTTTGGTTGTAGAAAAATTTTTCTTTGTGACTGTTAAGTGTGGAACGACACAACAACAAAACATTCGTCAGATAAGCCGCCAAACAGTTTCAAAGCTGGTGTTGTGTCCTTTTTTATAAAACTTTGCTCCTGAGCTTTTATTGTGCAATTCATCGACGAGTGCGTGAAGCAGAATTAGCAAGAGTGGGATGACACAACGATTTCCTTCTTAGCTTGTTCAGGAACTTCAGACATAGGTAGATTTTACAATAGTACAAGTACGTACCTTTTCTATCCTACTATGCAACGTGAAGATAATCTCGTATTTGCTTGAACCTGTTTCTTAAGGCAAGCACAGGAATTAGTATTTTTAAAACACATTGCTGCGTCGCTGGTGAAAAATAAGCTTTTTTTATATTCGTATGTTCCTTAGTTTTCCCATGAATAGGGGGATAAATGTAGCAGTGGTTTCAAAGAATGGCTCTTCAGATTATCGGTTAAATTCTGCTGCAAACAACCATATATTTTGCCTGCAAATGAATCATATGAGAATACAAAGCGTGTTGGTATGTTATGTATATTGTGGTTTTTACTCCTCGTTAGTAGTATCTTTTAATTCATTTGTTATTTTAACATTTATACGAGGTGCCCATGCTTATCGCCAATGGGGCCCATACTCAGACTGGTGCCTTCATGTGCCTTATGGCTTCGTCCTAAACCAGTAATGCAATTTTAATTTTAGTGTTTTAGACAACCCCTTATATTCATGTAGACACCACTGATACAGTGGAATAAAGACCAAAGACATAGCTATGAGTTTAGCACTTCATGACTCAATGTAAGGGGCGCCGGACTTATCGACAAAGAAGTCTATATGTTATACCAGCAATAATTCTGTCCCTTCATTAGGTTCTACCGTTAGATCGTTCGGCAAACAACCCAGTTTTCCAGTGATTGTGAATTAGATATTTTCAATTAAGTTTAAATAAATTTCAAGCAAGGACGGGCAAAATGCAAGTTATTTGGAATACAGTAGGATTGTTGCCTCGGTGCAGACTAATAAGTGGACAAGTTATACCGAGTAAGTGGTCTTGAACATTCGTCTTTATCAAATTAAAAGTGTCTTATCTCAATCTCTTTTTCTTTCAAATGAAGAAGCGATCTTTTATTCTTCTTTGTACTGTGATTTGTTCTTTTTGTACTTTTATTTTGACTGTGGTTCAAAATGGTAAATAGTGTATATGCTGGAGTCAATATTCCCCACTTGTAACTGCGCAGCACAGCTTAAGCAGATATTTCTTCAGATTTAATATGGCTTTCCTCTTGGTGTACCATAGCATACTGATCTCCTGCAGTGCAACCCAACTGGTTAAAAAGAATGAATTGTTAAAGATTACAAAAGAGAGTGGATTTATTTAATCAGTGATTAGTTTTGGAAAGCTATGTTCTCTCGGATTTATTCGCAAACTAAAACTCTTTTAGAAATCTCTTCAAAACCTTATTTTAGGATCACACCCTTGCTCAGATGCATTTACAAGCACATTTTTCTTGCTTTTGTGTCAGTGCTTTTTTTGCTTTTGTGTTCTTTCTTGCTTTGGTGTTTTTTCTCAGTTACAAAAATTCATTCACTTAAAAAATTTCAACAGTGGTACAATCAATATTAAGCTCTAATTTCAAGAACGAAAAGCAAGGAAAAAATATCAGTTTATTAAGCATTTATTTTCTTACATATCTGTTTTCTAAAACTTCTACGTTAGGATACACTTTAAAATGCTTTGAGAAAACCATTGCATTTGGCCCATCCTATATTACTACAGCTCATTTTTGTTCTTTTTATTTCCATATAATCAAAGCCATGCATCATCAGTAAGTATCCTAAAAACTGTTCGTGATATGATCCACATATCGTGCAAGGCTGATCCAGGCCGGTAGATCCTATCCAAAAAGGTGTTATATCCGTACCATTTGTCACTAGTTTCTAGCGCGGTGAACACTCATTCCAGAGGAAACTGCCACTCTCGCATGTTCGTGATCCACATATCGTGCAAGGCTGATCCAGGCCGGTAGATCCTATCCAAAGAGGTGTTATATCCGCACCATTTGTCGATGGTTTCAAGCGCGGTCAATACTCTTTCAAGAGACCACACACCACAACGCGTCGGCACCTTTAGCTGTTCGAAAATCTCACCAGCCACACGGTACTGATAACTAACTACGTGATTGCTCACTTCTGGTTTAAATCAGTTCGATTTAGAACTGAACAAACTTTAGGTCTTTGCTTCTGCAAATTTCAGGTTACAAGGGGGAGGGGGGTTGAAGTCGGCTGGTGAGAACTAGAGTGTCACTATAAGCGAGTTCGTGCATCATGACAATACCTTGTCTTTACTATAGACTTGTCTCATAACATGCGTATATTTGTAAATGTCACTTCCTGATTTAAGCACTTAGAAAGATCGAAGTACTTGTGACAACTACAGTTTCCTAATATGAGGTAGTTAGTGCAAGGACTGTAAACCCTGTCTTTGCCGTAGACTTTTCTCAGAATCATAACATATTTGTATATTTTTGTATGTATATGGTGCCGTGCAACTGGCTCATAACCAATRTTCTCCATGACATTGGTGTTGTGTGTTTTTTGTGGGTATAAAATTATGGGTTTATTGTACAATCATACATCAACATATTTGTATTTATGATAATTGTATTTAGTATAACAGTGTCGCTTTCTGATTTAAGAATAAAGAACAGATCAATGCACGGGTAGTGAGTGCAGCCTCTCGCCACTGTGTAGAATTCTACAGAGTACAGTTGCTTTTTGGTTATAGTTCTTCAGTAATGATCCGACCTCCTTCCACAATACTCGACACTGTTCTTTCGAGTTCGTGGTAGTTGTCCAATGCTGTAGTGGTTTCCCTTTCGCCACAAACGTCGTGGCAAAAGTTGGAATATCTAAAATGGAGGCTCCGGCTTGGAGATGTTTTATTTTAGTGTTTCTTTGCTAGGGAAAACTTCCACTGAAGGACATAAGTGGTCATCATGAAGAGGTGTGCTCACTTCACTTGAAAACGCCATTACGTTTTTAGAATATTATGATTTGCATAAACAGCTCTTTACAGTTTGTTTTGCAGTCAGTTTGATATTAATGTAGTATCCCGAGCTAATTTTGTCCAGCATGCTGATATTAGAACAACAAGTAAAAAAAGGAACGAGCGGCATTTAGTTTTCAAAAGCACGCGCGTTCTCTAAAACGTCTGTCTACTTTTTGAATGAAAAAACTAATAGCTACTGTTTGAAGTGGTCAACATAACTGAAAACGAGAAGCATAAGGTTTTTAGCCATATTTTAAGCTTACATCATAATTGACCGTCCTTTGAAAATAAGCGTCCCGCGTTCTCCATGCAAAACAAATTGCAAGAAAGTAGTTTGTTTGCATGACTAGGAAGAAAGATAGGCTAGTGCTAAAAGGATGCAAAAAATACAAATCACTAATACGAGAAGTTTTTATGAAGATTCTACCGATTGTACGCAGGCACATAAGGTCATAATCAACAATGAGCTTTACATACATTTAGTTTGTGGGTTAAATGGCGAGCTTTCGGCCATTTTGACCATCATCATCAGGGTCTAAGTGAACGCTATATAAAAAATTAAACCATTATTAATTTGCCATGGATTTTCAGTTACAAAAACGCGCGCACCACAACATCCAGCAGTTCGAAAATGGGCTCATACAGGACCAAACCTCGGTAGCATTAAACATACAAGAAAAGTATCATATATTGAGCAGTATATTCATTGAATAGACTTAAAATGACTTTCAGGGCTAGGTTGCTAACGAACGTTCTGTTCCTTTTCCCTGCCACACCTTTGTTTTATTTTCTTGTTAACTGTTATTCAGTATTTATTAATCACAGTAAACTAAACTGAAATAATTTGTTGAGACCATATAATTTTTTGGAAATAATTATTTAGATTGTTTCCATTAGCGGAATTCAACCAAAATGTTTGACGCCAGCAGCTTTGGCTTGCATGTCTTGTCCATTGTTTTGTAAACAATTGTAGATACTGTGCAGTTACTATATGTTGTAAGAAACCACCTAAAGCAGTGACAAATGTAGTAAGACCCTTTATGTAATTAGATCACTACTTGTTATTTCAAACACTGATACTATCGAGAATCAATTACGCTCTTTCAGTTTATGGTGTATTTTTGCCTGAACTTAATAGTGTTCAGTATTTTCTCGATAGATGTTATAAACGTCGGTATATTTCACAGCATCAGGATATCAGAAGCATGTTAGAAAATGTAGATAAGAAAATTGCAGCCAAGGTTAAGAAAGCTGACAACAATCCTTTAAACATATTAATGCCTATTGCCAAAATTAGTTCACATAATTTAAGAAGGTCTAGTACTACAATGCCTGCGGTTAACACTGAACGTTTTAAGAAGAGATTTTAGAAGAGATTTTAAAATTTATAAATATTAGTCATTTTAGTCTTTTTCGTTTTAGTTTCTTAGCGCACCACTTTATTGTATTTTATCAATGTGAATAAATACCTATTATTATTATTATTACAAAATATCGAGTCTGAATTTAAAAGAAAAATTGTCTGCCAAGGACATGACTGAAACTGCCTGGCTTGCGGTTAGGAATTCTTTCAGTAAAAGGGTAGTCAGTATTAGTAGTGAATAAAGATGTTATTCATTCTTATAGCTAAATGACTATTCTATCCATCTTTTTACAGTGGCCTATTTCAAAAATCATGTATTGAACTCATTAAATGAAAAAGATGAGGCGGTGTTCTTTGATCTTACAGATGAAGATCGACACACCCACGTATATAGGAATACCATGCAAGAACGTGATGATTCAAAGATTACGCGCACCAAATATCTGCGAACAAATGGAAACAAGTACTATCTATTTATCACCGAGATAATATACCATCCCATCGTCAAACAAACTTATCTTCCACCAGCTTAATTCTTCGCATTTTCCCACATACTTAATCCGTTAGAGATTAGTTTACTCATAATTGTTTATGATGCACAAGGTGACAAGCGTTTTTAAAATAGCTCCTTCCTCGGTAGATGCATAAAGAGGGCGCGGTTTAATCCTACTAAACGGTGTTATAATTGCTTCCACAGACGCGCGCAGTAGTTTTCTGATGAATTTACAAATAAATTAATGTTTTATTATTAGTATAGATTAGTAGAGAACAAACAAGTTGGTTAGAGTAAAAAACTAATTGGTTAATAATTAGTGTTTAAGTCATTATGCTAAAAAGAGGGTCTCCAAACTCCTAAGGGAAAGTACAGATGGAACTATTGTTCTAGCAACGCCGTTTTAATGGTTTAAATATGACAATTTAGAACCGCCGCCTTGTTGCGTTCTTTTCTCTTACAAAGTCGACCTTTCAGTCGCTTCATATTCAGGTACAGCCACTAATTATATAATCCAATCAAGGTTGTAAAGTCTAGAAAATTTTGATATACCGACATCCCGTTTTATGACCTTAGTGATAGATTTCATGTGCGCACATTTGAACCAAATTTACTAAAACTTTTTATGGAAAATTTTTAAAAAATGAGCTCAACAAGAAGAGGAAGTCAGGGTTTTCAAAGAAGCATCAGATTATCCCTTGACGAACATAGTGGTCTTTTCTCTCCTACTATTTTCGCCAATTTATGTCATTCGTACAAAGCAATACTAAAATGAACGAAACACGCAATAGACCTTTCCTGAATTCGCTTGAATGACCATGAAACAATGGTTTGAAGTCGAGACTAAACTTATTCGAGATTATTTTATTCATCAAGTCCAGCCTCGACTTTATCAGTCAAGCGAATTCGGGAAAGGTCTATTCTCTACTTTCACCTTAAAAACCAATCACGCCCTATTTCTATTGTTTGATGTCGAATTGGAATTTCGATGGAAAACCTGTCCCGTGTTTTGAATTCAGCATTGATACTAACAGGGGAGAGCGGGGATGAATTCAAAACCCGGGACAGGTTTTCCATCGAAATTCAAACCATCCATCAAACATTAAAAATAGGGCTTGATTGTTTTTTTAAACCAGTTAAAACGCACGTGCTCGGATTTGCATTGAAATTCAAGACCGAGCTCCTGCGGCCCTCGGTTTTGAATTTCAATGCAAACCCTCGCCCTAGCGTTTGAACCTTTATATAAACCATAATGCTTTGCTTTTTGAGGGGTAGCCTGTCAAATAGCTGTCCAAACATTAAGCGTTAATCAGACGCTTCTCATATCTGGTTTTGTCAGTTCTTTCCGAGTTAAATATCCACGTTTGGAACATCAATAGGTTTAGTGTTAGGGAAAATGCATCGATTTACAGAGATGTTTTCCTATTTACTTTAAAATCTCTTTCTATTTCTTGTTCTTAAAACCTGTTTCTCAAGGGGAGCAACTAGTTTCTCTTTGCTGACTAAGAATATCCGACGCACGCGCAGGCTCTGGAACTAGTTTCTCTTCAGTCGCTGACTAAAAATAACTGATGGATTGATGTGAAACTTGTTGAGAAACTCCGTAGGTAGCCCACTCCATAGGCAGACTTCTTTCTTGTGCTATTTGAAATTTCATGTGATTTAGATAATTTTCGCTCAATTGCGCACCTTTGCAATGACATGGGATGCATTGGTATGCGTCAGAACATTTGTGTAAGATAAGATAGTTGATGTTAAATCTTCACGCCGCAAGACGACTTTCGCATTTTATACAGCAAAGACATGTCGCACCGAAAACATTGCACCCTCTGTCCTTTGCGCATGCGAGCTTTTACAAGGAGGGAAAGCCGCAACCTGTTCCCATGCCTCACTTGGTCAGGATGCCAAGACGGATGAATGTCTTTTCTTCACTGGTCTTTGATGTTATAATGCAATACAAGAGGTGGTTTCTAAAACATGAAAAAATTGAAAAATCTACTCGCAAACGAACGAAACAGTGTAATGATTGCAATAACTGTTCAGGTTAACTGCCGATAATAAACCGTCATTTTGTCTGCATTATACGCATACAAAGACTAGGTCCAACAAAATGTCATAAGGTTATTAAGAATAAACTGGGATTGTGCTAGGGGTTTTCAAACTGGATGCTGACACCAAATACGGGTCCCAGTTGCATTTGTGTTGGTGGAACTATATTTTTTGGAAGCCCTAGTCAACAAGTAAAGAAGTAAGTCCAGCTTGGAAACATCAAAATTGTTTATATGCATTTTTTCGGTCCTACTTAGCGTAAAAATGCACGATTTCTGCCTTAACGAGATTCCTGTGCCAAGGAATACTGGACTAGCTCAAGGGTGTATCGAAACCATTCGTTGCATGGCACATTTGGTTAGTTTCTATTAGATAAGATTTAGAATCCTTAAAACAGAGTACCTTGGAAGAGAGGGAGAGGGAGAAGGAGAGGGAGAGGGAGAGGGAGAGGGAGAGGGAGAG